GCAGAGAAACCTCCTACATCCCTCCCAAACCTGCCTCCAGTGGCACTGCCTGACATTTGCTTTGAGCCTGTTCTGTCCTCCCCATGACCCAGCCACACAACTCTTACCGTGCCTCCTCTTTGCAATGAGGCAAGACATTGATCCACTGCTGGGTGGTTGTAGGGCAGAACAGCAATGCTGACAAGAGAGAGTATCAGGGACAGCCACCAGGCACCTTCCCTCAGGAATTAAGTTTTTTAATATCTAAATTTTTAATTTCTAAAAACTTTCAGTCCAAATGTACCTCTTCCTGCTTCCACTATCCTTCCCTTCCACCATTCCTTCCTTTCTACATCTGCTGATTTAAATCCCATCAGATAACACCCATCCTCAGTCCTGCTGTCAAAACAGAAGTCTCACCTGGCCAAGTTTTCTGTCACTTTTCGAAGTGCCTCCTGCTTCTTTGCTCGGTTTTTTGCTGCCACTTCATTGGCCATCTTGAGTCCCAACCTCTCACGGCGCCCAGGCTCCAGGATCTGTAAAGGCATCACACAGTTCACTCATGAGTGCTGCAAAAATGAGTCAAAGCCCCTTCACAGCTGGATTCCAGTTTACAGGGATCTAAACCAGGGAGAGGCTGGGTCAGCCTGCACCTCTCTGCTGCTATAAAAAAGCCAGAGAGGACACAGAGACCTTCAACCTGCCTTAGCAAGTAACAGAAATGGTAAAACCAGTCCAGCCAAGGAAGCAGCCATTACCTCTGGCATTTCCTCCTGCTGTCTCTCCTAGACAAACAATGTCACTTGTGTCTTGCCTGGCCTGTAGCCAGCCAGCTCTCAGGCAAGCACAGACATTGCTAAACAGCAGGAGAACAAGGCAAAGGCTTTGCAGTCTGACAAAACAAGAGGCACATACAGCAAATTACACCTTTCTGAAACTCAAGAGTCTCAGCTCGCGTTCAATGACACCAGCAGGGGACAGGTAGCATGCAGGGTTAGGTGCCATTAGCAAAGGCAGCATGTCTTTTCTACTCTCAATTGATACATCTGCCTCAGGCTGTGACAGCCAGAAGATCCAAACAGAGGGAAATCCTACAATTCCCACCCGTTCATACATTAAAATCAGAGAAATTGAGTGCCTCTTCAGCTTCCTCTGAAAGCCCCTCTGGCTGGGTCCATCATCGAATACAGAATCTCGTTTTCCTGCCAATAGTGTGTATTGCACCTCAGGTACCTCCACCAAGTGTCTTTCATGTGCATCCATGCCCACCTCCACCCTCCAAGCACAAACTAGATTATTAGTCTCAAGGACTGGGAACACCACCCAGAGATGTGTCACACTCCACAACAACATTAATCTATTACTTACTCACTTGCCTTTCCCTTCTTAGTCCTGCCCCCTAAAAAACCAATGGGATGTTGACTCCCTGACATGAAATACCTTGAAGGCTGGTCCAGGTGTTCTGTCCACATAGGGTGTTTCTGACCCTTCCAGACGCAAAGGGGTGCTCTCGATTTCACCCCATGTCATAAAAGGAGACTCATTCACACCTAAAAACAAATTTAAAAAGTCATGCCCATGCAAGACATTTGACTGCCCCTTCACCACAAAAAGAGAACAGAGAAGCAAATTAGGAAATGCAGCAAATTCATCCACACACCAAGGAGCCCCTTCACTGCAGAGGAAATCACAGCCAATGCAAACAGTAACGTGGTTCCCATTAAACTCCCTTACACCTTAAACTCCCAGGATTGCCTGTAGCTGTGTCACCCTCTCAGTTACAACAGCCAAGCACTGTCCTTTCTATGTGTTTATTTTTCCATTTGGTGAGCTTTTGCTTAGTGACACTTTCACTTTTCTCTCTACAGCACTACTCTTCACCTCTGCCACTGTATGAAAACTCCTTCAACACAGGAAACTCTTTAAGTAGGAAAACAGGCAGAGGACTTAAGAAACATGTTACAGCCAAATGTACCCTCCAGTCACCTTGGGGCCACCCTGTGCCAAACAGCGACTGTGCCCTGGCCAACAGGTGCAGAATGGATTCTAAGAGCCCGATTAAATCTCTGGCTAGAAAATCCCGCTGTCCAGCGCTTGGAAAAGGCACTGACAATGGATAAAGGAGGTGCGCTCCAAACGCCACCTACAGGCTTCCGGGAGGGAAAGCCCCAGCACGGTCAGTCTTTGCATAATGACAAAAAACCAGAGAAACCAGCGTGGCTGGTGAAGAACAGCTAGAAATTCAGTACCACGTTTCAGCTGAAAGAAAAATAATCGGTCTGTTCTAACTAAAAGCATCCCGCAGCTACTACACCTGAACCAAAGGAATCTATAATACACAAGTGCAGGCAGACAAAGGAAGAACCTAAAAAGACCTGGATGAAAACAGTGGGATAGACTGTGAATGAAGTGAGACATGGACATCCCTCTGAGCCAGGCTGAACCATCACTGAGTCAGGACACACTGACACGAATACTCCTCATTTTGAATAAGCACCTGAGCTTGTTGGAAGGTTAACGTTTGTGAAATTTTGAATTCTTATCTTTAAGCTCTAGAAAGGCGTCACCCAGGGATAAAACAAGCAGCTGCAGCACCGCAGTTGCCAAGGGAGGCTCACCATGCCCCAGATGATTCCTGAGCAATGAATGGCACAGCAGCTGGCTCAGAGCCTTCAGTACAGTGTGACTTCCAGCAGCGTATTGGACTGAGATTTAAGCCCTGCATTGAGCTGCCATACACGGCAAACAAAATGTCACCAGCTCATGAGATACACACAGATAGAAGGCTTTACCTCCTTGTCTAACCCAGTAATGACACCCTGGTGTTGAACAAAGAGAGCATCAAAATAAGCGCATTTTAAAATAGAGAAATAAGAAAACTCTCTTACCAGGGGCAGGAGAGGGGGTAGCCACAAATCCATATCCGTTCACTTTTGGAGACTCCTGGGGTATCAGTTCTTTCCCATCTGGTCCCACTTTGCCCTGTTTGTACTGAAATAAAAAACACAAGGCCATTCACGTGGAGAAAGGTGTGAGTCAGCTGTACCCAGCACACACACACAGCTCTCCTGGTGGATGAACCACACCAGAGGGCAGAGCAATAACCAGGTCTTAGTCAGAAGAAGTAAGATTATCCAACCTGAGCATTGAGGGCTGCAGCTTGCTGGAGCTGGGATTTGCTCACAGCTTGACTAAAAGGGTCCTTCACAAAGCGGGTGTTTCGATGGACAACTTCCCTGGGCTTCTTAAAGACATCACTCTCATCAGGCACACCTTGAAAAGCAAAATGTCTTTTAACAAAGGGCTCAGGTAACACCAGGCAGTTGCTCTAAAGCTCCTGATCAACATGGCACTTGCCACACATTCCTGCACAACAATAAAACACATCAGCAATTTCACTGTGTATCTGCAGCAACTTAAAACAAAATTTGCATTAGATACATGCTTTGTACCACCTGAAATCGAATTTTTATTTAAAAAAAAAGTAAGCAAGACTTTCTTTTCTCTACTTCACTGGTTTACAGAAATCATCAATTGTACACTTTGTAGCCAAAAAAGAAAACTGCATTTACAAAATTATGTATTTTTTTTATATAAGCCCAAGTAGCACTCTTTGAGCAGAAGCAAAGAATGAATAAAGATGACAACAAAGTGCTCATAAAGACAGACTTGGCTCCTGAAAACAAGTGCCTCTATAATAGATAATGAGCTTTTAAACGACATATAGAACATGATCAAAGTTTGGAGTTGGAGGTAACGGACCAAGAAAGTAAGAAAGAAAAGGAAAAAAGGAAAAAATTACTTTTTTAAAACAACTTTGTATATCTGAGCTTCACAGAAGAAAAAACCCACAAGAGCTGCTCAGTCATGTATAGAAATGCTGCAAGCACTGTTTGGAGTCAACCCACTAGAACCAATGCCTTTCCCACGAGACCTGTGTGCCTCACCTGTTGGATAATACATGAGGGTGTTCCGAGCCGTGTATTCCCAGGTATCCAGCCCAGCCTTCACATTCTCCAGAGCTTGCTGCTCTGCTGAAGGAAGTGCCAGGTTTTCATTTTGGCGCTGAAAAGGCAATAGGAAAAAAATTTAAAAGGTGGAAAAAAAAAATAGAGGTCTGAAACAGCCTCCTGCAATCTTTCATTCAGGCAGACACACTTTGGAGAGGTCAACCACAGGCTCAGCCACCTGCCCTTGCACACTTTGCATCAGGCACAGCACAAGCACTCTCTCTTTGGCAATTGGCATTTGAGAAACCATCCTGATCCCAGGGGAGCTTCCAAACAACCACTCCCTATGAAGCACACTATGCAAGGAAATGTAAGGTCTGACTAGAGTGCTGGCTGACAGCAAGACAACTCCAGCACAAGACCAGCTCCAGTAGCTTCACCTTGACCTGAAACACCCCCTGTGCTTTGCAAGAGCTCTCCTGCTGCCTGCCTTTCAATTCTGGATTAAAGCATTCAAGATGTATAATGAGCCACAGAGGGCATTTTTACTGTAACAGACTCTGAGGGTTTACATTAGCTGGGATAAAAAAATAACACTCCCTCACAACAACAGCAGTAAACACTCATGTGCCAGTGCCAAACTTCATTAAAGCCACTGCAGCCCTCATCCATCACTGACACATCTGGCAGCACCGCCAGCTGCTCACTGCTGATGGTTAAGGATTGACAAGGCAGCCCCAGAACAGCTCTGGACCCGCCCACAGGGAGCTGAGGAGGACAGCACAGCCAGCCATGCTCACACAGTACTGCGCTTGAGCAGCTGAGGGGGTTAGGACTGGTAACAGAAACAGAAAACTGAAATGAGACACAGTCTAACTACAAACAATAAAGGACTGACAGACAAACACCAGGAACTGTTCTCAGCCGCTCTCCCTGGAGTTGCTGCTTACGGAGGAGACCGCCAAGGACAGCAACACCTGCACTCAGTGCAGGGCTCTGCAGTCTCAAAGCTTTAACAGACAAATCCTCAGCAACTAAGTCAACACTGTTCTTACAGATGGGGAAAAAATAGGACTGCACAAAGAAGCAAAGAGCAGTCACAGGACTCAGGCTTAGCTCAGACTTAGTCATGATCGACCTATGCACCCACTGTGCAAAACTGAGATCTTTCTACTCTTATTCAATAATATGAGTGATTTAACAGCCCAATGCAACAGCCCCATGCTCAGAGACAACAATTCTCATCAGTATTTATAGTAAGATCAGAAAACAGAAGGCAAGACAATTCTCTGTTCATCAAGCAAGCAAGCAAGAGACTGAAATGGCATTTCCCTGCCGTGTCCCTCTGGAAGGGCAGCTCCTACCCGTGTGTACTCCTCCTCTGCACTGTACAGCCACGCGTGCTTGACCTTCTCCTTCTCCTTGGCCACCTCCATGATCTGCTCAAACGAAGCATTATCTTCACTCGTGTGCTTGGCCAGGAAGGTGTCCAGGCTGGGAAGGGCATCTTTATCATCTTTTTCTGCTTCTCCTAACAAGAGAAGGGAAGAAGCCTGAGAAAGGTTAATGCCTCCCTTTCTGTGAGAGCACTACATATAACTGCCAATCCTCCTGGCAGCGGGCCTTCCACGGACACACTGACAACTAACATGGAACTTGGGGAAACAAATATATTCACACAGTAATCAATCTTTTTTGGAACACATATAATCAACTTTTACATAAAATCTTTTATGGCCTTTATAGATATTTGTTTTAATGGTAAAGCACATAAGAGAACAGCTGCTAGCAGACATTTGTAATGTGCCCTACAGACAGCTCTGCCCCTACAGTCTCTGCTTACTGACAGAATTTATTTCAGGTGACACAGGAAAAATTTACTGCCTTTGAAGAGATGAACTGAGTTAAGAATTTACACAGTCACAAAGAGAATTCACATACATGATGTAAAACATTAAATGTAAAACATTACATCAAGTTCAACTTCAGAGAGATCATTTTCACCTACCAGAAGGTTAAAGGAAAATTGCTTAAACATGTTCTAAGTACCCAAAACCCTTAGAGGAGACAAGGCTCACAAAAATATTTTCCTGCTGCTGAAGAATTCAGCTACAGAAACAACATTCTCCTACCTTCCTCTGAAGATTTGATGCCACCTTTGGATTTACTTCCCAGTGGAAGGCCGCCTGGATGTACTTCTGGGGTTTCAAATGTGGCTGGGGTAACATCTGTCACAGAAAATAAAGGTTCACTTGGTCACCAGAGCACCCTTGCTCTGAGGGTCATGTGCCAAACAAGTCACAGAAGGCACATCAAGAGGACAAATTAATTAAAAACTTGTGGAAAGACTCCAATATACTGTATTCAATCCTGTCTAGATTTTGGTCTCATTTAAGACATCATTTTTCTCCTCCTGGGAGAAATTCCCAGGAGAGTCACAGCCCAGTGTATTTGCCACCCTACCCCCTGCTTTTGCCTACACAAGGAACAGCAGAACAATCCTAACCCAGCCCAGGGCCAGCACCTGCACTGGGGAGGAAGGGAAACCCCCTGGTCACATGTGTCCTTTGTCACAATAAAGCCACTTACTCAAACCCCACTCAGAGAGTTCAGCCAGGGGATGGGCTTTAAGATAAAACCCTGAAAGGGTAATATAAAATGTATAAAAATATAAAAGAGAAGTATAAAATCAAAGTATAAATTAGGAGTACAAAAATATAAAAGTAATATAAAACCTTGGAAGCGAAAGGAAAACACAGAACAGGACATTGGATGCCTGCTGTGGGAACCGCTGATAACCACGAGCTTCCAACAACTTCTGTCCCTAATACATGAAAATCTTACACATCTGTAGGTGCAACAAGAACCCCTAAAACTACAGGAAGGATTCAAAAAACAGCTTACAATTTCTGATAGCATTAATATTGCACATTAGAGCATGTAACATTCCCCAGGGAGCAAAAACTTGGCAAAAGATGCCTGTAAGGAATGGTTATTCAAAAGCTGCTTTTCCAAAACCCTTCCTTCAATAAGGAGTTATCAGACACCATCAAAGAGACATTCAGCATCAGCCACCAGACAGTGGCTACTGCCCAAGCTGGGACAGTAACTCTCATGCAATGTCAACCTCTATCCTTTCAGATAAGCACTGTCTGCACCAAGTTAGATAAAGCAGAGCAACACTATCGGATACAAACTCCTGATGCCCCAGAGAAACACTTCTTACAGGGTGCAGGTGTGTCCCTCGACGATTTGCTCAAGGAGGAGCCAAACTTGATGGCAATTTCCCAATCTTCTCCAAGTCGCCGTTTTCCTCAGCCTCCAGATACTCCTTCTGCGCCCGCAGCTTCTCCACGTCGGGGAAGAAATCCCGCTGAATGATCTTCTCCAAGCTCTGCAAACAGAGGCGGCTGCTCAGCCACGCCGGGACACCCGGGAACGCCGGCTGAGCTCGGGGCCGGCCGCGCACAGCCCCGGGCAGGACGGGCAGCCCGCGGGCCCCGCGCCGGTGGCCGAGCGCTCTCAGCTGCCGCCGCAGGCCCGGGGCGCGGCCACGGCGCTGTCCCGACCCGCAGCCGCGGTTACAGCGGGCAGCGGCCGCAGACGGACCCGGCCGGGACGACCCGAAGCGCTCGGCCCGGGCACCGGCGGAGCGGGGCCTGCCGGGCCCGCCGCCTCACCTCGATGTAGGCGTCCTCGTCCAGGATCTTCTTCGACTGCCTCGGCGCCGGCGACGTCGCCTCCTTGGCCGTCCCGACGACGGGGCCCGCGGCGGCGGCGGGCAGCAGAGCGGCGGGGGAGGCCGCGGGCAGCGGCACCGGCAGCGCCTCCATCGCGTCGGGCCCGGGGCCGCCGCGGCCTCTTCCTCCTCCGCCCCGGGACGTCACAGCCGCGCGCCACGGGCGGCCCGACCGTCCGCGCGCGACCCCTGCTGGGCGGGAGGACCTGCCCGGTCCCGCTCCGGGATAAGGGGTCGGGATGGGAACTAGAATGGGAGCTGGGATGGGAACTAGAATGGGAACTGGGATGGGAACTAGAATGGGAGCTGGGATGGGAACTAGAATGGGAGCTGGGATGGGAGCAGAAAGGGAATTGGGGTGGGAGCTGGGATGGGAGCGGGATGGGAGCTGGGATGGGAGCGGGATGGGAGCTGGGGTGGGAGCTGGGGTGGGAGCGGGATGGGAGCTGGGATGGGAGCGGGATGGGAGCTGGGATGGGAGCAGAAAGGGAACTGGGATGGGAGCTGGGATGGGAACAGGGATGGGAGACGAGATGGGAACCAGGATGGGAGCTGGGATGAGGGCTGGGATGGGAGTTGGGATAAGAGCCAGGCGCGATCCCCCAGCACCCCCTGCAGCCACCTCAGGCCCCCTCAGGATCCCCGGACTCAGGAATGGGGAAGGTGTCCCTGGGGAGCAGGACCCCCGCCCAGCAGCTCGGGCAGAGGTGGTGTTACAGTTTTATGGATCTCGGTGCTCTACAGGATGCGGGTTCTCTTTGTCCCTGCCAGGAACATGGACATGGCTCCCTCTGGCAGGACCTGGCTGCAGCACAGAGAGCTGAGCACTGGCTGTGCCAACCCTCCCAGCACAACCCATGGCTCATCCCTGCCTCAGGCTGTGGGGACAAACCCGGGTTTCTTTATTATGGAACGAATCACCCATTCAGCAAGTGCCACCCCCAAAGCAACTCCAGATGCCACTGAGGTGCTGCAAATAGGAAACATTCATTTGCAGGATATTTTGCAAATTACAGCAGTAAACCAAGCACAAATACTATGGGTACAGAGCACAGACAAGAAGGGGACTCTCTCCTCTTGAAGCACACACCCTTAACACTGGTACAGCTCTGTCCCCTGCACGCCATTCCTGCCGAGTTATTTGCCACATGAACTAGGTTTGCAAGAGCGATATGAAAGTGCTGTGTCTGCTTTTACCTGTCCTCCTCCTCTGTGAATCACAGAGATTCCCTCTTGCTTCATTAGTGCCCCTCGGGTTATCCCACCCCACAGAGCCCATCAGCCACGGGCAGTGGATGCTCTTGGCTCTGCTCCGCTGAGCTGCAGCACTGACAGCACCCACAGCACCCACAGCACTAACAGCTCTCCTCGGGGGGCTGCTGGGTGCCCTGCAGGATCAGTGCTGAGGCGCTCGCCCTCTTCTGGTGCCGCCACTT